ATTAATGTGAATATATTGTGAGAGCGGGTTGCACGCTGCAACAGAATTGAATGTGAATATATTATGAGAGCAGGTTGCATGCTGCAACAGAATTGAGTGTGAATATATGGTAAGAGCGGGTAACACGCTGCAACAGAATTGATGGAAATGATAATTGGTTATGACTGCTGAGTTGGCTTCAATTATTATAAATGAGTTACCTGAATTATTTCTATTATTGTTGTTGTTACTAATATTGCGTACAGGTTAATGTAAGTGACCTGCCTTAGCCTCGTCACTACTTCGTCGATGTTAGGCTCAGCACTTACCAGTACATGGGGTCGGTTGTACTGATACTACACTCTGCACTTCTTGTGAAGATTTTGGAGTTGGTCCCAGCGGCGTACCGTAGACTTGCTCGGATTTCAGCTACCAGAGGAGACTTGAGGTATAACTGCATGGCGTCCGCAGTTCTGAAGTCCCCGTCTATTTTTACTTTAGCTGTGTGTTTATTTCCAGACAGTTTTATTTTATCCACACCTTTATTTGTATTTATTCTAGAAATTCGTGCACTTGTGATACCAATTCTGGGATGGTATTTAGACACCGTCGCATTTTTGGATTATTTCACTATATTTCAAACTTTGTTTCCGCTTTTGTTTTCTTGATTATTAATAATGTAAAGATTGTTTAAAAATTGGTTAATATTATTCTAACGTTGGCTTACCTAGCAAATAAAATGTTAGGCGCCATCACGGTCCGAAGGTGGGAAATTCGGGTCGTGATACCTCTTTTGCTACAGTATAAAAACTACTGTAATGTGCAATCTTCATCACTTTTGCTTATTATAAGTTCATGATGAGATGTATAATGGGAAGTGGAAGACAGAGATTCTTAGTGGTGGTCATTTTTAATACTTACATATAAAAATTACGGTAATGTGTAATCTTCATCACTTTTGCTTATTATAAGTTCATGATGAGATGTTTAATGGGAAGTGGACGACATAGATTCTTAGTGGTGATTTGGTGCGAGATGGATTGGCAAACTGAAGCAAGCAATAAAAACTGAATTCAGGCTTGTGTTCGAAGACAATTATGATATTGGTACACGATACCACCATTCCTTCAGGCAGATTTGTTATCAATTTTATATAAGATTTATATTTTCTTTCAAACTTCAAATAATTATTTTTTCCCTGGACAGAGCAAACATTATATTTTTCCCTTCCGTTCTTTGTTGTTAAGGAGAAGATTAGTACAACCGGTGAAACAAAAAACTTCTTCCCCTGACATGGCAGCTTCAATTGCAAAATAGAGCATTCCAAAACAGATCAAGAGTGCAGTGCTATGTTGGGGAAATAGCTGCTAAAGTTAAAAGATGTTATAGTGGAAACAGGAAAAGATGGAATGGGATATGTAGGGAAAGTAGCTGGAACATTGAACAAAAAGACAGTAATTGCCGGCTAGGAGCAGAAGCGGTGATTGATTATACTTCGAACGATGTGAAGGATTTTGAATAAGTTGAACCAGAAGCTTTTATTGTCCTTACTAGACGGGCTTAGCCCGTGCTTTGCACGGGCCCAACCTTTCACATTTTCAGGTAGCAGATCTCTTTCTCTTTATTTACAAGGTAATCTAAATTTAGAAGTCTCAACCATGAAGACACAAAAACTGAAAATACAAAATACCTGCCATGTAAATCAAACCTCCCAAACTTTTAAGATGCAAAAACAAAAGAAGTCCACGGTTAAGGAAACAAAGAACGAAATATTTTATTTTGCAATCATAGAAATCAAGTATCCAAGATACATCACATATATTTAAAGCTTAGGAAATCAATCTGAAATAGTAAACAATAACAAATCATATCTAACCCAGACAAAAAATGAATGTTCACATACAATGGACAATGACAGAAAGTCAAAGTGCACTTAATATTTTCACAATGTTTGAAAAAGTGCAAAGCTTGGAGGAATTGGTCTTTTGAATCGGTTAGCGTTCAAGTCGAAAATCTTTCATTTTCATAACAAGCCAATCTCGTTATTGTATATTCATGCAAAGTCCTGCATATCAACAGTGTATGATCATTAAAATCTTGAAATTTTCAAGCGATAGAAGCTAAAACCTATAAGCCTTCATTAAAAATTAACTTACAAGCTGAGAAACATCACAAACGTTAATGTAAAAGAGAAGGTGAAAATATAAATTAGAGCCTCAATCGTGATACTGATATGTTCCAAAATATATCCAATAAACTGGATTCCATTGGAAAAGTTAATAACTAAATAACACACAGAAAGTACAAAATTACATAAGTGGAACACCTCTTCAAATTTTTATGACAAATTTTGTGCCATAGAACAAACTTTTCAACTCCATTATAAGAATCTAAGTTAGAGACATTGTAATAAGGTAAGTCAATTAAAGTGGTGAGTTCATTTGGCTTTGATCTTCAAGAATGATAATGTGAAGTAATAATTTATCAAAAGAATCTTAATGTGCAATCACCATGTACATTAGCCAATAACATAATCAAAGTGACTCACTACTGGACTCTTATTTTGAAGTCAAACAACAATTAAAACCAGACTTTATTGGCTGCATGCAGGGATCACTCTATTCAACAATCACTATATTCAACATTTAACACATATAAAGTAATGTAACCTTTTCATTGTGAAATTACTCATGAATAAGATATCATAATATTTAGGGCCAGCACTATAAACTCGAACATAAAATGCCTTTTAATGTCCATGTTGTTTGTCATTGCTTACAATTGGTGTTTCATCTATGGATGTTTCATAGTGTCTCAAGGTGGGTGTTTGAACCATTCAGGAAGCATATCTATCCCCACTGATCTCAAATTGCTGGACAGATTGAATGTGAAGATCTAAATGATGCAAGTGAATGCAATCATGTAGAAGAGTCTCTGTCATAATAATAATAATAATAATAATAATAATAATAATAAAAGGACTCAACAAAGATAAAAATGACTCATTGCAATATTTTTCAGATCTTCCAGTAGAACAATATATACACCGAACAGACAAACAAATTAAATTAAAATCCCATAACGTATATAAGTAAAAGGGAAGTTAAACACATAAATCTCTTTAATTGGTAAAAGAGACGTCTCACCTGTGGATCTGGTGCTTTTGGCACTTCTTTCTCTAAATTTGTACCCTTCCTGCTCTCTTCTCGCTGCCACCACACTGAAAGCAATAAGAACTTTTAAGAATAAATCGGAAAAAAAGGAATGTACTTTAATATCTTGAAAGAAGAAATATTAAAATGAAAGTTTGAATTGAAAATATCTTTGCAGCTTTGGGTGGTTAAGGATCACAAGCAGAAGGAATATAATTTTTGGGTTTGACATATCTATGATAGCTGAGATTATCTCTTGGAACCACTAATAGCTTGTGAAGCTAATCCATAATTCGTCTACCTAATACAGGAAATAATAATAATAATAATAATAATAATAATAATAATAATAATAATAATAATAATTACAAAAATCTAAAGTTGTTAATAGCAAGAATACTTAAACATTCTAAAGGATGTGACGTTAGTAACGGAAGGTCAGTATCATCGTAATATGTGAAGCATCGTCTTTGATTTCTTTAAGAGCTGTAGAAAAGGTATAAGAATCTGCTATGCACAAGTTTGCATATTTAAAACTACTTTCAAGTAGACATATAATTTGAAACATTGCTTGGTAGGAAACTATTTGATCTTTATGTATCCCTTTTTTATAGCATATCATTGAACACATAAGGATCATATCGAAGACAACCAAACAACTAACAAAAGCTCAATTTTCACTTAAATCGATTTATTATAAAATATCAACTCTGTGTAAGACGATGGAGTATAACAATTAGCATAACATTACCTCTTCCAAGAGTAGCTAGTTTAAACCAACATCAACGACTAATAAGCATGAGTTGAGATGAAAAAATGTCTAGTGTTGGTGGTCTCATTTCATCTTTCTTTGCAACTTCTCAAGAAAGAGAGCTTCCATCATTTGACAGGCCATGCATTTTAGCTCTTTGGAAAAAAGCTACAGTTGAAAGATGGAAAAAATAAATATATCTTTTGCACTACTACATCACTTCAACTTAACTTTTTTTTCTTTTACAGACATGAATTATATCATCACATCTACTTCAACTTAACTGAACATAGGGGAACAACCTCATGTCAATTATCATATACTATGTAATAATCTAATACCCAACATCATAATTGTACCCTGTGGCTATAAACAATTTTGCTAATCAATCTTTGATAACTCCTAGAATTCTCGAGGACCTTATTCTGTTTATCCTGTGTGCTCGTGAAGTTTAGCGCTTCTGAATTTCAAGCTAAAAATAAGTACTTGTTAGTTTTGTTTGATACCAAAAATTCAATCAGTAATCTCATCATTCTAATCTCAGCTTTGGCCTTTGAGATATAATGATATATAGCATATATGCAATGATATGTTAGATTTCTTGTTATGATCCAACAAAATCATTTTCAAGGAGGACTTTATGAAACTTTGGTGTAGTACATCTTAGCTTCTTCAACCATCCTGTCATAATCAGTGTGATTAGTTAGTTATTGACATATATAAGGATCAGAAGTTCACAACCATGCTATTGACGTGCTTTTTAGTGAACAAGCACAATATGAAAAATAAATCTCTCCTAAATATAAAAGTGACTTTGCTACATTATTTCCATGACTTAGCTGACCATTTAAGTAATTAATTCCTCCATCCACAGCAAAAAATCAATTTAAAGAGTATAACTTTATTTTTTCATTAAAAAAAGAGGATTAATTAAAGTTTGACATAATTGAGCAAAAATAAATATCCATTTTAAATTCATATTATTATGTAGTGCGTTAAATTTATCGACCATAATATGCCAAAACCAAAAAACGACATAGTCAAAAATGCCAATCTCTGCTCAGGAGAACAAAGAAGACATTACCATAAAAAACAATCAGAATAATTGATAGAACATAAATGCATTACTGATGTTTGAGAGTTTAGTTCACAGAGCCTTTTTCTATTCCCATTGAGTTCCTTTAGTACCATTGATGGCTAACAAATTGACAGAAAATAGTCAACGAGCATAAGCATGTGCAAAATCAGTTTAAAAAAGAGCCAAAGGCTCAAGAAATACTACAGTTGACTTTAATAAATTCCTTCTATTTTTTCCATTGAGGCCAGCGGCAATGGGGGGCGAAGGATAAAAGGGAAAAATCTCAAGAACAATACCTCATTGTAGACCGCTCGGATTTCTAAAATGTTCTGATCTCTCAAGAATATCTTTGAGAGAAATTTGGCACCAAATATTCAAAATAAAACATGCATAAGTAGAATCAGTTAAGAAAAGAGCTAAATGCACAAGTAAATCTAGAATAAACATCAAAAACTTCTATTGCACTTAGCGGTGCAAATATAACCTGTGAAATTCGAAGAGAAAAAGAAAAAATTCCCAGATAGGGAACACTTACCTGTAAGTCATAAATATATGCAGCAGTGCTAATTATAAGTCCAAATAGTTAAATAGAAACCCACTTCATCATTAAACAATTAGCAGAGGTGTTGATAGTTTGTTCTGTCTCTACAAAAACAACAGCAGGCAAGAACATTCCTCCATGAAATTGGTAACTATTAAGAGATCTCAAAAAATAAAAGAACGAAAAGAAGATTTCAGAGAGAAAAAAGAAGAAGGTTTGACCAAGAATTGAGAGAGAATCATACCAGAAAATTAAAATCATAACAGACAGATACAAGATGAATAGAGCAAAATTAATTTTGAAAGAGTGATGCTTTAGACTTGGTGTGTTGAAATTAACCTAGAATGAGCACGTTAAAAGTATATGACTGAGCAAAAATAATTGAGATTGAAATGTCAATTTTGCCCCTGGTCGATCATCTTCCCTCTTCTATATAATAGAAAAATTTTGTGAAGGAAAGAAATTTCAATCATTCCAAAGGGAAATGTACGACGACTCTTTTCTTGATTATCTATATTGGTTTTATTTTGAATTTGAGACAAGTTTTATCCTTCACCTTTGAGTGAGTGCAAAAAATTGCTGGTCCTAGCAATTTGCATAGATACAATCCAATAAAATTCAAATATTTATTTTTTAGTTTAATTCTTTTTCATGTGATCACTAAATTTAGTCTACAATATAGACTTACTATATCATTTTTTTTCCTTTTAAACGATCCGCGCATCGCGCGGGTACGTATACTAGTATAT